TACAATTAAGTAATACCACATGAGAGTGATCATATCATATTCAGATATTCAGTACAACAGCATGATTTGTAGCTGTAAATATCTATACACTACCGGTTAAAAGTTTGGAATAATTAGGATTTTTAAAATGTTTTTGAAAGGTCTCATGTTCACCAAGGCTGAATTTATTTGAGCAAAAACACAGCAAATTAAGAATTGCTGTTTTCTATTAAAACATTTTCAAATGTAATTTATTCCTTTGATGCAAAGCTGAATTTTCAGCATCATTACTCCAGTGTCACATGATCCTTCAGAAATCACTATAATTATGCTAATTTGCTGCTTAAGAAACAATTCCTATTATTATTTATTAATATTGAAAACATTTGTGCTGCTTAATATTTTGTGGAACTGGGATACACGGCCATTCAAAAGTTTGGAAGATTAAAAAAGAAAATAAATTAATATTGTTATACAGCAAGGATGCATCAAATTGATCAAAAGTGGCAGTAAACACATGTGTAATGTTTCCATGTTGAATAATAATAAGAAATGTTTCTTTGAGCAGCAAACCAGCATATTAGAATGATTTCTGAAGGATCATGTGACACTGAAGACTGGAGTAATGATGCTGAAAATTCAGCTTTGTCTTTACAGAATAAATTAAAATTTTAAATATATTAAAATAGAAAAAAATAATTTTCAATTGTAATAATATTTCACAATATTACTGTTTTTACCGTATATAATTGCTCAAATAAATACAGCCTTGATAAGTAAAAAGACTTCTTTCAAAAACATAAAAAATCTGAATTATTCCAAACTTTTGACCGATGTAAATATATCAGGCAAATGATCTTTAAAGTATCTGTGTATGTGTGGGTGTGTTTGTATGTGACTTATTTTAATCCATATTCTAAACGAACTGTTTTAACAATAAGCGTGTTGTGTGTGTTTAGGCTGAAGTCTTTGGATGTTCATTTGAAGAAGCAGCAATCCAGAACCAAATGCATGCGGCAGCTTCTTAAACCCCTGAGGGAGGCTCACTGTCTGAGCTTGGCATGACATCTGCCGAGGTATGTGACGGTCTGAATTATGCATAATTGTGACCACTGAGAGGGTATGCGTGTGTGTTCACTCTACAAGTATTTGGACAATTTTGTTACCTTGGAACATTATGTACTTTTGTGCGAGAGAAAGAGATGTGTATGTATGCTAGAGAAAGAGAGATTTAATAATTCAACAGAGTTATAATTGATTCAGTCTCACCTCAGAAAATCAGCGCTGAATCACACTATCTGTACAGAATGTCCCCTCGCAACTCTTTACAGCACCAATGTGTGCGTGCAATGGATTGAAAGACTTTAAATCTTAAATCCAATCCTATTAAAGGAATAGTTCATGCAAAAAAGAAAATGGTTAAAGTCATTATTACTCATTCTCATGTCATGTCATCCCAAACCCATATTATAATAGTTTTTCATGGAACACAGCACACACAACTTTTTTATTTTTAAAAAAAATATATTTATTGTGTGTGTGTGTGTGTGTGTGTGTGTGCATGTTTATGTGGTTTATGAGGACACAAATTTGTATAATAACATGGGTATGACATAGGTATTATTACAATGAGAAAGTGATTTATGAGGACATTTTCAGTGTCCCCGTAATTCAAAAGGCTTATAAATAATTCAGAATGAGTTTTTTTTGAAAATCTAAAAATGCAGAAAGTTTCCTGTAAGGGGTAGGTTTAGGGGTAGGGTTGGTGTAGGGCAATAGAAAATACGGTTTGTACAGTATAAAAACCATTACGCCTAAGGAGAGTCCCCATAAACCATAAAAACAAACCTGTGTGTGTGTGTGTGTGTGTGTGTTCCATTGAAAAAATGACAGCATATTCAGGATTGGAATGACATGTTGACTTAATAATTTTAGAAATTACATTTTTGGGGTGAAGGGTTCTTTACACAAAGAACCAAACTCCTGTCTTCAACTGTCTGAAGAAAAGATATAAATGAATAAAAAACAGGCCCCACTCTAAACTCACACAATTGGCTGAGAGCTGCCTCAGAGTGTTGTGATTGGCTAACGTGCAGGTAGCAGTCAAGGGGTTTTGCTGTTTACAGAGCCTGTGTGATTTTTCAGAGCTGCTATTTCAGTGGTATCTGACAGCAGGGACATGTCACGTGTGCTATTCAAAAAAATAGCTTACAGCAGCTTTAAGATGCAACATTTTTTTTTTTCTGAATAAAAGTGCTGGTCTGTGCAGAACTTGCCACCACAGTGCTACAGTATTCTGGGCTTTGCTTTGTGGTTGCTAAGGTGTTTTTTTTAAATGGGAATTTTCCTAACAAAATAAACAAATGTATAATATGTTGTTCTTTACAATTAAAATTTTCGTTTTCTGTATAAGAAGTACATAAAATATACACTCTATTTTTTTGTTAATATAGAATTCCAAATCCTTTCCAAATAATCTTGAGTAAATACAATGAAAAAAAAATGCAAAATAGGTATATACACAAAATTCACAGGTATATGAAATATTAAGCTTAAATCTTTCCAAAACATGCTTAGCAGGATAAATGGTTGCTAAGGTATTCTGAGTGGTTCTAGGCCTGTTGCTATGCAATTTCTTAGTGTTCTTAGTGGTTGCTATGGTGTTGCACAAGTCAAAGGAGCCCATCCGTGATAGGCTATTTGTGATATTTAATTTCCTAAATATGTCTGAGGTCCCTCTTTCTGTGTAACTATAATAGAAGGATGTAACTGTAAAAACTGACCAGTGATAGGGCTGTCACAGTTTAGAGAATGGCACAGTTTAGTGAATGCCCACTAGAGGCAGCGCAATCCATTTGATTAATTCCTTTATATATACAGAGAACCATTCTCTCATATCAGTGATTCACAACCAGGGGTACATGTACATGCTTAAAATAAAATAAAATAAAATAAAATTAAATAAACTAAATTATTTAATTTATTTAATAGAAATGTGTATGTGTATGTATGTATATATATATATATATATATATACATACATAATATTATTTTAAACAGAGAAACAGTCTAATGATTTAGCTGATAATGCAAAATACTATATAGAGTTTAAATTTAAACGGAACAGATTTCTGGCCACATGCTGTGCAGTTGGAGATGTACTTGAGCGTCAATGATGGGTACGGTACATAAGACAACATTTTTTTGGGGGAAATACTGACTTATATGATTGACCTGGATTTAGATAATTTGTTAGTTGATCAGTTTCTTTGTTTCATGTAACTCCTAAACAAGTTAGTGGTTTGGTTTGGATTTTTTATCTCATATGTTTCTGTGTGTGCCTGTGCCTCTTCAGCAAGTCTCTACAAAGTATTCTTGTGCAACATGTACAGGAGGTGCGCTTAAAAATTCAAAAGAGCTGACGTGAAGTTCAGAACTGTGGAATGTGCTCCTTTGAACATTTCTATTGAAGAATTCACAAGCAAGAAGTGTGTGTGTGAATAGTCAACGTGGGTGTCTCGCTTCTCCATTTATCCGTGTGCGGTCTTTGTCTCCTGCCTTTACTCCAGCAGCTAAAGAACGTGATCTGTTATCTCTATTCAGCTCTTAATGTCAGCAAGTTCTGAACACAAAAGAGACTCGTATCTACAGGAGAACTGTGCATGTGTGTGTGTATGTGAATACAGGAATCAGCATATCCTGACCTCTGTTTATGTGTGTGTGTGTGTGTGTGTGTGTGTGTGTGTATATACAGTGCATGCAGTTCAAGTGATGTCATAGGACAAGTGAATGATGGAAAAAAAATCCCCCAGACGGACATGCATCCCATATACAGAAACAAATACACACACCTTCACATAGAGATAGAGAGTCTTAGAGACAAGAAAGGACAGGAAGATAGAACAGAGGAGACAGAAAAATGAGAGAATGAGAAGTGGAGAGGCAAGCAAAGAATACAAAGTATCCTTATGCAACTTACACAAACAACTCTATAGTACAATGTCTATAAGGGCATATTCCATAGTAATGTTGTTTTCAGTGAACAAGTGTGTAAGTCAGCAAGAGTTAATGGGAGAGAAAAAATAATTGGGTATACAGGTGCATCTCAATAAATTAGAATGTCATGGAAAAGTTCATTTATTCCAGTAATTCAACTCAAATTGTGAAACTCGTGTATGTCCAGTCAAAATCATCACAATTAAAAGAACCAAAGACTTAAACTACTTCAGTCTGTGTGCATTGAATTTATTTAATACACGAGTTTCACAATTTGAGTTGAATTACTGAAATAAATGAACTTTTCCACGACATTCTAATTTATTGAGATGCACCTGTATTATCAACTAAACGCTCCCATATATCCCTGCTACTAGAGGAGGAGTTTTCATGTTTTTGTAGATGGGTAAGAAAGCCTGGGTTAGAACAGTAAGACTTTAGCTGGAAAATGGAAATTAATGGAAAATGGACTGGAATCATTCCTTTTTTTAAAGTTAATATCTTTATTCAGTAAGGGTGCATTTAATCAAAATTGACAATAAAGACATTAATAATGTTACAAAAGATTACTATTTCAAATAAATGCTGTGCTATGACTTTTTTATTCATCCTTAAAAATGTGTAATGGTTTCCACAAAAATACTGTTTTCAACATTGATAATAATAACGAGGGTTTCTAGAGCACCAAATCAGCATATTAGAATAATTTCTGAAGGATCATGTGACACTGAAGACTGGAGAAATGGCTGCTGAAAAATCAGCTTTGCCATCCCAGGAATAAATTGTATTTTAAAATATATTAAAATAGAAAACAGCTATTTAAAATTGTAATAATATATATTTTTTAATTTTAATGTATTTTTGATCAAATAAATGCAGCTTTGGTGTGCATAAGAATTCCTATTTCTTTCAAAAACATTAATAAATCATAAATACCCCAAACAGTAGTCTATATATTCCAAATCCTTGGAAACTTGTTTGAAAACATACATTCGTTTTAGTGCAGAAATAACATTTCACCTTTAAACACCAAACCGCATACATACATTTGACTGTCTCTTGAGTGTTTTTGCATAAGCCAGTGTATACTGGTGATAACACTGTACAAGCAGAGGTCATGCCCTCAGGAGAGGATTGACACACACACAACCTTTCTCACTCTCTCTCTCTCTTCCTCTTTCTTTCAGAACCATGGACAGCTCTAAGCAAGCAACACGATTGGTTGAGAGACAAGAGGGATGCAGAGACAGAGAGAGAGTGAGATAGAGCAAAAGAGAGAGAGAAGATCACCAGGGGACGGAGTGTGTAAGCAGTGAGGGCTGGAGGGAAGGAGATCAGACAGCAAAAAAGAACGTAGAGAGGCAGAGAGAAAAAAAGAAGGATAGAGGAACTAGAAGAAAAGACAGATGCTATAGCTGGTCTTTTTGCCTACTGACGCCCAAGCTGGGTTCATCTCTGCATGTGTGTGTGACGCGCACGGGGTGTGTGTGTGTGCTTGTGACGGCAGCCGCAGCCGCAGCAGCAGCAGGGGGAGGACAGATCAAAGAGATTGTAGGACATGATGCATTTAGCTGCCTAACTTCTCTGCACACACACCACAGCCGGCTAAACAAGAACACACTCATACTACGCGCATCTGCACGCAGCCCACCCCACACACACACCATGCGTGTGTGGGGACAGCGCAGATGAGGCAACCACCAAGGGGAGGTGTGGATCTTTCCAGAAGTGTTTGGTAGGGTGAAAGGACAGCCTTGGTGGTCGTAGCCCAGCAGGAGCGGTCGTAGGTGGGGAAGGGTCGAACTGCCGACTGCCACCACCACCGCCATCTTCGGTTTTCTTCAGAGCTCTGGAAATGCCAAAGATGGACATGTCCTTCATCCTACTCTTCCTCACGGCAGTGTGTGTTTCCTCCGTGCTGCGTTGCTGTCGCCGGGCTTGTCTGCAGGGGGATTCGATATTGTGCTGTGTTGAGAAACGCACACACTGAACACACCTGGAGATCAGCTGTTCCGGGAGAACAGATTCACTGATACCGTGAGTGTAATTATGTGTGTGTCTATCCAGATGTTTTGCTTTGTCTCATTTCCATCTCATCCTTTTCCTTATCAGTTCTTCATCATCTGTATGACAGCAAGAGTTAAACTGAGCATCAACGGCTCGTATGGGATCCAAAACAGTATATCTTCAGATTCATTCATGATTCAGCCTCTTTTTTGACATTTGTACAGATAAATCTTTACATAACGTTTCGATGAAATGACTTAGAATATTTTCAATTCCATCTCATTCTTTTCCTTATCTTCATCAGTTCTTCATCACCTGTGTGACAGGAAGAGTCAAACTGAACATCAATTGATCACACAGGATCCAAACTAGCATATTACCCAGATTTCCCAACTACATTTTCAGATTCATTCATGACTCTTTTTTTGACATTTGTACAGAATGGGATCTTTACACAACATTTCAGTGAAATGACTTGGAATCCAAAAAATAAAATCATGTCATCATGTCATTTCAAACCTGTTTGACTTTTTTCTGTGGAACATAAATGAAAAATGACCAGTGTTTTTGGTCCATACAATGAAAGTCAATGGGGTTCAGTGTTAGAACCTCAGTGTTCTTCAGAATATCTTCTTTTGCATTGTATGGAAAAAATAAAAGGTCTACCATTGACATGAGGGTGAGTAAATGAAACAGAAACATTTTTGGGTGAACTATCCCTTTTAATGAGTGTGTGCTGTGTGAGAATCCCTACATTCAATTGGTTCTTGGTGTATTCCAGTGAATATCTTGTGTTTCAATGATTCTGGATCTACTCACGTTGGGTGTGTTGTGTGGTTTTGAAGGCTATTTCTATTCCTCAGTTATGAATTGGCACTATTAATGTAGTGTGGTGCAGAGGAAACTGTGAATTACAGAGTAATGGACTGAATAAGGAAGCAAAACTCCACTCACCGGGATCCATTGATGTGGTGCTGTGGTCTCGTTGACCTATTTTCATGTGTGTGTGTGTGTGTGTGTGTGTGTGTGAACGCCAGCAATGGAAATGTGGCATCTTGCCACCTCATTACTCTGAAAAAGAGATTTAGTGTTAGATGTTTATTAAAATACATACGCAAATGGTGATAAAACATAATTGTTAAATATGATCCATCTGTGGCAACCATCTACAGAGTAGAAGAGACGAATATTGTGTTTCATGCTTTCGGCATTATATGAGACACACACACACACAAACACACACATGGTGGGGATATCATGCCTGCCATTGTAAAGCAGAACTAATGCATCTTCAGTGCAGAATTAGGTTCTCAGCTTCCTGCATTATGTCAGCGCACTAGGATACTGTTGCCTGGAAACCCAGTTCCTTCTCCTCACGTTCCGTTTATAAAATACAGCTGTGTGTCCCTGTGTATGTAAGAGTGTGAAGGCATCTATGGGCATGTGCAGGTGTGTGTGTGTGTGTGTGTGTTTGTGCATGCTCACATGGGTGTGCACAGAAGTGGGAGAGAATTTAAATGGAGGAAAGGCAGATGTGTAGGTGGGATTGTGACTAAGGAAGGGATGGAGAGAGAGGGAGACAATCTGAGATCAGAATCTATATTAAGACATCCTGAATAATACAACAGAGAACAGCGCACTGAATGACATCTTCACAAAGTTATAAAAATAAACTTGACATACTCTTTCATGCACATACAACTAGGCCGAAAATCATTTCTCTTTATGTACAGTGTACAGTGTTTGAGAGCATATAGAAAAAAAAGCAGTAGGATGGAATAAGGCCTGAAACTGGCACATAATGTTGGGCCAGATGTTACCACTGTGTGCATGTAATGCTAAGAAACTGACTGATCTTACTAGTCTCAACCTATATACTTGTTTACTTTGTAAGAAGTAAACAAGAAGAAGAAGATGGATGGATGAATGGATGGAATCTTAAAACATTAGAACAATAGTATGATGGATGGATGGATGGACGGACGGACCAACAGATAGACAGATAGACAGACAGACAGACAGTGGATAGTGTGATTCTATTTTCTTCTAGGCTCTGTTAGTTTGTGGTAATTATAATTAATTTTATATGTAAATAATATATATTTTTTGTTCCTCATCATCATTTTAGGTATATGTAAACATGCTAGCTCTTGCCCTTTCCCAGCAGTGAATCATGCTCTTCAGTGTTAAATAAGGAAGCAAAACTCCACTCACCGGGATCCATTGATGTGGTGCTGTGGTCTCGTTGACCTATTTTCATGTGTGTGTGTGTGTGTGTGTGTGTGTGTGTGTGTGTGTGTGAACGCCAGCAATGGAAATGTGGCATCTTGCCACCTCATTACTCTGAAAAAGAGATTTAGTGTTAGATGTTTATTAAAATACATACGCAAATGGTGATAAAACATAATTGTTAAATATGATCCATCTGTGGCAACCATCTACAGAGTAGAAGAGACGAATATTGTGTTTCATGCTTTCGGCATTATATGAGACACACACACACACAAACACACACATGGTGGGGATATCATGCCTGCCATTGTAAAGCAGAACTAATGCATCTTCAGTGCAGAATTAGGTTCTCAGCTTCCTGCATTATGTCAGCGCACTAGGATACTGTTGCCTGGAAACCCAGTTCCTTCTCCTCACGTTCCGTTTATAAAATACAGCTGTGTGTCCCTGTGTATGTAAGAGTGTGAAGGCATCTATGGGCGCATGTGCAGGTGTGTGTGTGTGTGTGTGTTTGTGCATGCTCACATGGGTGTGCACAGAAGTGGGAGAGAATTTAAATGGAGGAAAGGCAGATGTGTAGGTGGGATTGTGACTAAGGAAGGGATGGAGAGAGAGGGAGACAATCTGAGATCAGAATCTATATTAAGACATCCTGAATAATACAACAGAGAACAGCGCACTGAATGACATCTTCACAAAGTTATAAAAATAAACTTGACATACTCTTTCATGCACATACAACTAGGCCGAAAATCATTTCTCTTTATGTACAGTGTACAGTGTTTGAGAGCATGTAGAAAAAAAGCAGTAGGATGGAATAAGGCCTGAAACTGGCACATAATGTTGTGCCAGATGTTACCACTGTGTGCATGTAATGCTAAGAAACTGACTGATCTTACTAGTCTCAACCTATATACTTGTTTACTTTGTAAGAAGTAAACAAGAAGAAGAAGATGGATGGATGAATGGATGGAATCTTAAAACATTAGAACAATAGTATGATGGATGGATGGATGGACGGACGGACCAACAGATAGACAGATAGACAGACAGACAGACAGTGGATAGTGTGATTCTATTTTCTTCTAGGCTCTGTTAGTTTGTGGTAATTATAATTAATTTTATATGTAAATAATATATATTTTTTGTTCCTCATCATCATTTTAGGTATATGTAAACATGCTAGCTCTTGCCCTTTACCAGCAGTGAATCATGCTCTTCAGTGTTAAAGGATAACATATTCCCCTGAGAACATGCCATTATGTGTGTGTGTGTGTGTATGTGTATACGTCCCACCTGTACCTCCAAAGTTCATTGTTTTTTTTATAAAGAACAAGCCCTCAAGAGGACGGAATGACATTGTGTGTGAGAAACTCAAGTCTTTCTCTCTCTCTCTCTCTTTCTGTCTGTCTTCCAGGCAGTCTCTCTGCTGTGGTGAAGGATGGATTCAGGGGAAGACGAGTGCACACATTTCCTGCAGTACGTGGAGGACAGCGGTCTGAGGGCATATGACGAGCTGGTTATCCAGAACGCCTCTGACATCGCCCGAGAGAGCGACCGCGTCCGCAACCACACACACTGGACATACCTCCACGAGAAAAACCAGAAGAAGAGACGGCAGGAGGACGCTATCAAGAGGTACACAGACACACACACACATACACAGCTAAGGATAGACTTATTTATATGTGAATACTGCACATAATAATACTATTGGCTGTTACTATTGTTCATACTTAGGGATTTGAACAAATTTCTATATCTAAGTAAACAGTGCTTGTCCTGCACTGTTTTTGCTACCTATTACTTCTAATCAGACTTATATTTTTCACCTGGCAAACAATAAAATAGGAAAAAATATCCCATAAAAGCACTGAAGGATATCTACATTCTTAATTAATTGTATGCCTCATAATTAATTGTATATATTAAATGAATGAACAACTATATATAATATATTAAATGAGTTAATGATTCATTTTGTGATTCTAGAAGTGAAGTTCTATATTTCAGAACTGTATGTTCTTCAATAAAGAAAATAGTTATTGAGGGAATATTAAAAATATATGATTTCAGTTCACATCTTGTTATTATGTGTAGAATTTAGAATTTTAATTTAGATTAGAGTTTGATTATTTTAATATATTAAAAACAGTTTATTAGTTTAAGTACTTTTAAGTTAGTCACCTATGTGTACAAAGTGAGCGAGAGAGAGCCAGGGAGATAAAGGGAAATAAAGCACAAGTATTTCTAAGTATATTAAATGATATTAAAGTAAATAGGGTATATTTGAATTCATATATAATATATAGCAAATCTTGGACGAGTGATTGTTTATATAGTCGTAAAATGTAAACTGCATTATCGCAGAGCTCTATATATAAAGTCAGATATATTTTATATCCAATTTTATCCGCATACATACAATGTGATAGTAAACATGTAGCCTATTTTTTATTTTATTGCTAAATGTATCTATATTGTCACTCAGCTCTTTATATAAAGTTGGATATATAAGTATCCGCACACATACAGTATGCTTGCATAGGGCGATATATTGTATATAGCATATCTCACTCGATTGCTCTTCCGCTGCCCCTTTAACACTACATTTCCTCCTGTCTGTACCCTGTAATCGAACCTCCAGTTCTCTCCTCCTCTTTAGCATCTCGCTGAGAGGTCGGAGTCATGGCCCTCTTTTCATTCAGCTTGAGACACTCTTGCCACAGTAATGGGGCGTAATTGGGGTGTTCTTTATACGGAGGGGAGGTCAATGACACACACAGAGCGATTGAGTTCATCTGTGTCTCCCTCTCTCTGAGGTGTTTTAGTGAGATTAAACAATCAGGATTACAGAATGCAGATGAAATTTCATTAGTGTAACTCATGAAAGAGGATCAAAACACAGGCACATATAAACAGTGACAGTGGGAGGGCCTAAAGTCACACCTCCTCATCCTGGAGAAGGAAAAAACAGGGTCTGTCACCATGGAGACAGAGGGGTGAGTTTCTATGGCAACAGTGGGCTTGGCCCTCATCTCCCTCTCGTCTCTAAATTCAGACTGCTAGCCCCTGAGGACACATGCACACACTCCCTTAAAACACACACAACAAAAGGCAGGTTTGGATGTGTCACTCAAATGTTATCACACACATAGATACACACACTGGGAGAAACCTGGCCAAGGACACACACAACGGAAAATCTGGATCTGATGACCGTAAATGGCCTAAATAACACCATAAATCCTGTTACAACTCACCTCACTCTCATATATGAGTGTGTGTGCATGTTAATGAGGCTTAAAATTAATTGAATATGATTGGATTGGGAAATTAATATGAAATTATAGGCACAAATATTCTATAAACACACATAAATATAATACACAGAGATATAAGTAGGTTTTATGAGTTGTTTTATAACATATTTCAATTAAGGCAAACAAACTTTCTTTGTTGTGCTGGTAAAACAGGTTGGTGAATCTCACTAAGAAATGTCCAGGTTATATTTCACCCTGAAAATCATTTGAAAATAATAATAAATTATATTCTGCCATGACGGTCTTTTTTTTTTTTATTTAATTTTTTTTATTTTTAGAAAAGATTATTTTCAGAACATTAGCACAACTATTTTTATGTCTTGTACTGTAATACAGAAATGAAAAAAAAAAATTATAATGATAAAATAAATAATAAGGCTAAAAGAGTCCTCTATCCATAATTTTCCTAAACAGTTCTAATCAAATACAGTATGTCGCTGGATTTTGATATGAGAGATCAACAGGACTGGAGGAAGCGTTATTATGGATTATGGACTTGCATGCCAGAAGCGACGGTTTAAAGTTAAAATGACTTAATAATGGATTTGTTCCAATTCACAAGATGTTAACTGATTGACTGGACCAAGGTGGCGAGCAAGTGATGTAATGTTAAATTTCTCCAAATCTGCTCTGATGAAGAAACAAACTCATCTACATCAAAAGGTGAGTACATTTTCTGCAAAATTTCATTTTTGGGTGAACTATTCCTTTATATACTTTAGCTTTGGAAATCCAAGCTTTGCCCTACTAACCACTATTCCCATGACCTTTAACCCTTCACATGGACACATTTGATATTCTGTCAAGGAAGAGACTTTCCATATAAATCCATCTATTGATTTATATTGAGCTAATTATATTTTATATCTCCTAACCCTACCCTTAAACCCTCACACAAACCTTTCAGCATTTTCATTAAGACTTCATTTATTATGTTTATTAATCTATTTTCCTTGTGAGGGCCATTAGCTACTCCCCACAATTTAAGTGATTTCAGGTTTTACAACCTTTTAGGGACATTTGCTCCACACAACGCAGGCGAAACCTGACACACACGCACACACAGTCACCAAACTAGTCAGCTTAAACTAGGCTATGCTGGTCTTGTCAGCAGGAATAGTAAGCACTACACTTCTATGCTAATGTGAACATCCATCAATGAAGTGATCAAGTCACCATAATGATCTAGTCTAGTCTAGTCAGCATCATTACTCTAGTCTTCTATGTCACTTGATCCTTCAGAAATCATTCTAATATGCTGATTTGCTGCTCAAAAACATTTCTTATAATTATCAATGTTGAAAACACTTGTGCTGTTTGTTGAACATCTGATACATCTTTAATCAGTACTCTTTGATGAATAGAAAGTTCAAAGTAAACTAGAAATCTTTTGCCATACATAAAAGTCTTTACTGTGACCTTTGATCAATTTATTGAATTCTTAATTCAATAAAAGTATAAATTTCTTAATCTTTTGAACGGTAGTATAAAAATCATGGTCAAAGTAAAAATGAGAAGACAGAGGTAAAACGCCATCCTTTCAGACTTTTTCTTTTTTACATTTGCTGGTGATTTAGTCTTTCAACCGAAGCCTCAATTGGATTTTTGTAATGGTCATTACCATTACAGTTTTAATTGTTTCATCACATTAATCAGCATATGAAAAAGTCAAATGAGTGACTGATTGGCCATTTGGTAATATTATTTTCCTCTAAAAATGTCAGAGTGAAAAGAGAAAGGAAAGAAAAACTGATGACTGGTCACTCATGACAGTGTGAAGTGTGACCACTGAGAGAGAGGGAAAAATTGTAGACGATACTAGAAAGACAAGACGGATGACAAAACACATGGATGAAAGGATGCAAGGAGAGAAGCAGAGAGACAGGATGTGGAGAGATGAGGGATGCTGGTGCAGTGAGGTTGGCAGACAGACTCTCAATCATTCTTTATGAAGCACCACAGCACCACGCCCTCCCCTCTGATTACATACTCACAATATATGTGTGTGTTTTCTTAGTGAATGGTTACTTAAAGCCAACACGAGTAAATCCTGTCTGCCCTTTAGTATGATTAGTTTTCCTCCAACAGAGAGAATTTGAGAGACAGCAATTGAACTGACTGCCCCCTTCTCTCTCTCTGTCTCTCACTCTTTCTCATGAACAGACAGATGAAAGTAACTCAATTTTTATAGGATATTCGGTGCAGAAATCATCTTAAAATCCAGCCAAATTGCTCTGAATTGGATTATGCAAAAATGACTTTTAGGCAAGATAGATTCATGAAGTTATGAGGGAATGGATAGCTGGATGGAGGGGATTCTCCTTTCCTCTGTAACATTCTCACATTACAAATGTAGAATATTTTGCCACATTTATATTGCTAAAGCTGTGTACAAAATAAAATATGAAACATGTTTGAAACCATTGAGAATTAAATAATCTCTATACAGGAAAACAAAGAACAGAGATGAAAGTTAGCTTTTACAAGATTATCATAACCCTCCAGCCTCCACTACAAAGTCTAATATACAGGTGCTATATATATATATATATATATATATACTGTATATAAAGGATGGCAAAGCTAAATTTTTATCAGCAATTACTTTAGTTTTCAGTGTCACATGATCCTTCAGAAATTATTTATCTCCCAATTATTAATAATATGCTGATTTCTTATAATAAACATTTCTTATTCTTTGCTTACTATTTTAGTTTCTTCAGGATTCTCTGATGAATAGAAAGTTCAAAAGAACAGCATTTATTTGAAATATAAATCTTTTGTAACATTATAAATGTCTTTACTGTCACTTTTGATTAATTTTTAGGTATCCTTCCAAGTCATTTTTAGATCACTACACATAGCCTACTAATTTTATTTGCATGATACATTTTCTGGTTCTAAATCTCCACAAACATCCTCCCTGATCTCTGATCTGCCTGAATTAAAATCACTCTGACCTGTGCTATGATTGTTTGTTTGTGGTATTCTTTGTGAATTCACATTAATGAATGTTGGACTAGTACAGCAGCACATTAATCTGTAATAGAATAATAATCTGTGCTGGTTTGCTTCATTTTGATCTGTTCTGGAACAATGTCTCAGGCTTAAATCCGTCCAGGTTTCAGGAAGTATATGGGGTTCATAGACAGGTGCAAGTGTAATACTTTGTGAAATTCTATCTTCAGGATTGGTGAGGATGTGGCCCGTGTGACAGAAGGAGGGGGCTACGCAGGCAAACACTTTCGTATGGGCTTCATGACGATGCCGGCCCCTCAGGACCGTGTTCCTCCTCCCTGCGGGCCAGGATTCACCGTACGCTCGCAGTCTCTGCACTCAGTGGGAGGGGGAGAGGATGAGGGGAGTCCCACCTCGAGAAAACAGCCTCCGCCCAAACCCAGACGAGATCCCAACACCAAACTCAGCATCTCCTCTGAGACAGTCAACACTGGGCTCAGCACAGGGAAAAGCGGGAAGGAAACAGAGAAGTGTGACGGTAAATATGTGTGTGCACGCAATACGTTAACACTAATGCTTCTTGCTACTGTATGCAAGCTTGATTTTGTGCTTGGAAATTTATCGGAACGCGATAGTAATACCATAGTACCGTATCCAAAAAAAAAAAAAAAGTGAGGTGTTAGTGAGGTGATCTCTCTCCTCTCCTGCTCTTTCACTCTCAGTTAAACATTATATAAGTGACCATAATTGACCATAAAAACCACCTTAATATTGTGAAATGCTACAATACTACAATATTACAATTTAAAATAGCTGTTTTCTATTATAATAAATTTTTTAAGTTTTATTTTTCTAAAATATTATTATGATTTAAAATATATTAACAGAAAACTGTTACGGTATTTAAAATTATAATAATATAATTTAACAAAATAAATCTTTCTTTAAGATATATTAAAATAGAAAACAGCAGCATTCAATTGTAATATTTTACAATTATATTTAATAATATATATATAATTATAATAATAATATATAATTATATAATTATAATAACTGGAAAAGTCAGCTTTAAGAAATAAGTTAAGAAAAACTTTAAAATATATAAAACAGGAAAGAAATATTAAAATTTTAAATACTTGAACTGTTTTCTGTTTCAATATAATTAAAAAAAAAGTTAATAGTTTTTTTACTCCTGTGATGCTCAAGCTGAATTTTTAGCACATGATCACATTATCCTTCAGAAATCATTCTATTATGCTGATCTGGTGTTCAAGAAAAAAAAAAGTATGAATAGGATTGGAGAGATGCAAAAGGAGAAAAAGACAAGAGCTTAAGGGGGAGCTGTAACATATCCACATATTTATAGTCTAATAAAATATATTCAAATCAAATGTATTTACTGTTGGTATTAGTGTAGGCCTACTTGTTTTTTTATTATAGCCTGTGATAATTAATACATTACAAAAACACTGTAAAAATTTAAAAAAGTTCATCCCACTCCTCTATTATTACATCTACTACTACCATTGCTTGGATTACAGCATCACATGCCTTCATGTTGAACATGATTTTTCTCCAATGAGGGGGATGAAGGGGCGGAATTTGTTTGATGAATTACACTATAGCAGTTATATTGTTGCACTGATTGGCTATTAACTGTGAGCAGACAGAAGTTGTGTTTGACCTGAAGCGGCGCTGCACAGACCGATCTGTATTTGACATCAAATTCCAGTGAGAGCGATTCGAAAGCATGCAGAACCGTCTGCTCTCTAGAGTTCTTGCGGTCCTTTGATGACAAACACTGATCGGTCTGTGCAGCCCCGCTTCAAGCTGAACACACCTAGACTGTCAATCAATGCATTGGAGAATACAGCAAACATAAATGTAAACAAAGTTGCTTGTCAGATTTTCCAAACAAGCAACCATATTTTTTAAAATAAGCCCAAAAAAACAACCCCGGATTTTTTCACACACCTTAACAAAACAAGAAGGCCAAAGTCGCGTATTATAAGCAGACTTGGCAACTCTGGTTTTGAATGGGGAAAAATACAATGCTCAATATGGCCACTCTATTGAAGGAAGCCCCGCCTTCTGAATAAAAGAGCCAATCAATGATCAGTATAAGTGATTGTGTCACTGCAGCTGCCGCAAAGTCCCTTTAAGGCAAGACATTTCACTCGGCGGCCATCTTTGAAACACCTCTCAGGCATGCAAGTGCAGCTTCTATCTCTTTGAATGGGGAAACATTAAATTCTCCAAAACTGTTAGCCAAGCTTGTGATTAAATTTCATATTTGAAATCACCAATGAAATCTGACAACAACTGTCTCAGATAGCATCAGAAAAGCGTATTTTTTGGGCTAGACCAGCCAGTGCGCATGTGCAGTCCTAAGCGTGCATCTCAGAACACTGAATGTTTCTATAGCAACTGGAACTTAAAGGGACTTTGATTAATATTAAGGACACTATAGTAGACATGGTGAAAACAGAATCATTTCTGCTGTGATGCAGCTCCAAAAAAAAATGGTAAACAGTCGTTCAGTTGAAGTCAGTTCAGCGTTGATTCTGTTCGAGTATTGGACACGCTTGTTCTATCTATTTGTATTGAAAACATGCTTGTTCTTAACATGATTGTTCCGTTACGTTGCTCAATAGCTAATTACCCTCCTCCATCCCCAGCTCCTCCTCTCGTCCAGTCAGGATTTGGCCTTCTGATTCCCCTTTGAATCAAACAAATTTCTAAAATGTGTACATTAAATTATTGACCATTAATGATATCTGCAATACATTTATGTTGGTTCTGTTGGTACTGTGGATGACTGTTTCTTAGGACATTGGAATGTGTTTGAAGTCGATGGGGAGACCAGAGAGTTGATCTGGTTAGCCTCTAATTGTCAATGGGGGGAATCATTGGCAATTTAGCACCCATATAAATGTAGAATCTGGGGCCAATTTCTAAAATGTGTACATTAAATTATTGAACATTAATAATATCTGCAATACATTTATGTTGGTTCTGTTCTGTTTACCCTAGGGGGGTTATCACTGTTCTCCCTGCTCTTATCCATGTTAGGCTGCATGGATACGGAGGGAGTTCTTGCCCAGAACCAATCCAAACTGTATGCTAATTGTCAATCATCTTTGACAAAACTGGTCATGCAGAATTTACATTTTTGCTATTGTGAAATATTATTTAAAACAACACGCATTCTTTCTATTAAAACACACACACACACACACACACACACACACACACACACACACACACACAAGCCTCTGGAAAAAACTGCATCTCTTATTCTTTCCCACCACTTCACTGTTGTATGCAAATCTCCTCTCTTCTGCCATCTCTTTCATGCATGCCTCGTTCTCATGGATCATTACACATGCAGCACTTCCTTTGAGCTACACACACACACACACACTAAACACTCTTCCTCACTGCAGTCCACATCACACAGAAAAGCTAGACAAGAAAAGTGGCAGATATTTCATAAATATGATCACTTACCATATAAGTATAAATATTATTTTATAAAAGTGACAGTAAAGACTATTACATTGTTACACAAAATGATTTCAAATGCTGTTCTTTTGAAGTTTCTATTCATCAAAGTTGTGGCTGCTGTGCTTTGCCATCACAGGAATAAATTATATTTTAAAACATATTAAAATGGAACATGGGTGTATATGTAAAATTAAAAACATTACATTACATTTTTATTATTTATAACTAACAATTTATAATTATTAGAAATAATTCATAAATTGAATAATCTATAAATATTGTAGAAATATTTTGTTTTAGTCACAAATGTAAAATCACCAATAATTGGGTTAACCTTTCTTAAAAAAAAAAAAAAAAAAAAAAGTAAATGAATAAATGTAAATGTTAATACAGTTATATTACTAAAAACACCTAAAACATCTATGAAAAATTGCTTTCACACAGAGCTTTAATAAAAACCAATACTGCCATTACGGTAATGCACACATAGATAAATGCTATCAAACTTTATTTGAAACAAGCAGTTTTTACTATTTTTACTCAAAACTCCATATTAATTATACACTAATCTGAATATTAGTTGTTTTTAATTTCTGAATATTTAGGTGTAAGTGCTCCCACTCAGTGACAGTTTAACAGTTATGGTTCTGCCTGAGGCAAGCAATAGCATTACCAGGGTGGCTATCGAGTGGACTGTCTTGCTTTGTGAAGGACCTGATACACACTTAGCAGCACTGCACTCTTGTTGACTGTAATGAGTCAGTGTCAGACAGTGCAGTCTTTTTACATAATGGAAAATGCCTCACAGACAAAAGGTCACCACACATATATTGGCTTTTACAGACACCTGTAAATATACCCAAGTATCTTTCTAGGAACAGGTGACATCAACTCTTCATCCTCCTCTGACTGGTCACCCTGACCCAGCAAAAGCGCTCTCATTGGTCGCCCGCTGGCTGCAGTGTCATTATGAACAGGGCAACCGTTGCCATAGGCAACATTCCGGCTTAAGTCTTTTACCGGTGGTGACAGCTTCGGACAGAATCGACCAAAACACAGATGATGCCTCTTATAAACAAGTTCACAGCTACAAGGTCAACAAGCAGGAGACTTGAGTCGTGATTCACATTCACAACATGCTAACAAAGATGTAAAACACTGTTCCACTTTGAGTTAAAGTCAGAGCAAATCATGTATACACTCTCTGAAAAAAGGTACAACATTTTTACTGGGGCGGATCCCTTTCAAAACCTACTAATATGTACACTTTAGGGATAAATGAGATGTACCTTTTAGCTTTTTATACCTTTTTTTCTGAAAGTGCATATTACATATTTCTAATACAAGAGTCCTTGAATTCCACACACACCCATTTCCACGCACATTAGTCTTCCTTTAACCCTTAACTTGATCTTTACTGATCCCACTCAGAGAGCTGAGCTCATTCAAAGTGCTTTTCTTTCAAATTCAAAGCAGAAACACATATTACAACATACCAAACCCCACTCCAACACTTGACCTCATTTTACAATGTAAAAATGAGCAACCTCATTAAGAGTACATTAACCCTAAAAACATCAACCGGCTCTTTGCAGTGAAATTTGAAACGCAGCCAACCTCACTGTACTATATAGTGTACAGCAAATCAACCCTTTTAGTATCTTCACCTTCCAACACATGCAACATACAACCATTTTCTATTCATATTTAAAGAGTATTATTCTCACCAAAGCTGCATTTATTTGATCAAAAACGATTTAAAATATCTGTTTTCCAATCAAATATATATTTTAAAATGTAATTCATTCCTGTGATGGAAAAGCTGAATCTTCAGCATCATTACTCCAGTCTTCAGTGTCACATGATCCTTCAGAAATCACTATAATATGCTGATTTGATGCTCAGGCAACATTTCTTATTATTATCAATGTTTAAAACAGTTGTGCAGCTTAGTATTTTTGTAGAAAACGTGATACATTTTTGACAGGATTATAAGATGAATATAAAGTTCAAACAGCATTTTTAACATTATGTATTTACTGTCACTTCTGATCAATTTAATGCATCCTTGCTGAATAAAAGTATACATTTCTTAAAAAATAAATACATAAATAATTTTGGTGTTCAAGAATATATTCATACACAGAGACACACTCATTTAGTAA